CTCTTGAGCTGACAGAACCAGGCTGGGAAAGGCAAAAGCTGAATTGTAGGGTTTAGGGTTTAGTCTGAGCCTCCATCTTCAGTCAAACCATAAGGGGGGGCATGAAGAATTGGCCATAACACTGTTATGAAAGGTACTTGGGAGTGTTTCATATGTTTCTTGTAGGACACCTTTTTAAAATAAACAGCCATGGTATATCGTTGACTCAGATGTGAGCTTTGCAGCTGTTCCTTCCCATCTGCCTGGTATGCCAAAGCAAAATCCTGCAGCTCAACATCTCTAAAATCAAATGCTTGATTCAGATGTTGTAATTTGGATCAGCTTCTGTCTTTTGGGCTTTGGCAGTGTAGGTAAAATGGAACTTAGTGTGTTTCTTTATCTAGTTCAGAAAAAGAGATGTTATTTATTTACTTAGAATCATAGAATCATTTAGGCTTGAAAATACCTTTAAGATAATTGAGTTCAACTGTTAACATAGCACTACCAAGTCCATCACTAAACCATATTCCTAAGTGCCATGTCTACAAATCTTTTAAACACCTTTGGAGATGGTGACTTCACCACTTCCCTGGGCAGCCTGTTCCAATGATTGACACTCCTTTCAGTGAGAAATATTTTCCTAATACCCAATCTAAGCCTCCCCAGCACAACCTAAGGCCATTTCTTCTTGTGTTATCACTTGCTACATGGCACCTCACTACAACGTCCTTTCAGGTGGAAAGGACAGAGCGAAGTGTGATCAGGTCTCTCCTCAGCCTTCTTTTCTCCAGACTAAACCACCGTAGGTCCCTCAGCTGCTCCTCACAGGACTTGTTCTGTAGACCCTTCAACAGCTACTTAGCATATCACAGTGTTGTGTAGTAAAACGTAACAGCTAAACAGCCTTAGCTAGAGATGTGAGTACAGCTTGAGGCAGAGTATCTGGCTGTCAACATTGCATCTTAAAGAGGAAGAAAGTTTTTGTGATACCTTGAGGTGGCTTATTTCATTAGATTAAAACAACTAAAATATTTTTGCATTCAGGAGCTCAGTTTTATTCTCTGTAGGTACTTTGAGGACTTGATGTTCTCACTGACATCTTTTCACAGTATTACACTTAATGCAGAGTCTGACTATGAGCATGGTTCAGGGAGCAGAGTAAAAGGGGCTGAAGGTACCTTTTTGCCCCGTCCAAGAGCTGTGCTTTCCAACCAAGGAACGCTGGGTTATATGGTGGGGTGGGATGATGCTGCCAAGACCTTCACGCTGAGAAGCTACCATGGTGTGTAGCTCATGCAACTGCGTACTGTTTGGGGCTATTTTCCTCCTGAGGCACCCACTTGCTCACAGCAGATGGCCTCCTTCCATGACTGTACATTTGAATGCAGTACTAAAAATAAGGGGAGGCCTCAGTGACGAAGGGGTGAGCTTACTTTTTTGTAGTATACTTCCTCAGAATTATTTCAAATGAGTTGATACCAAAGGGGTTAAAGAACCATTGTATATTTTGAATTTGGGCTTTCAAAGCAAATATTTTGACAGTCAGTTAGAAGTGAATATTGAGTGGCGTGCTGTGAAGAGCATACAGTCTGTCATGGAAAAATCTTGTGAAGGGATGGGAAACTGAGAGGAGGAATAAACAGGCAGTTTTCAGCCTTGCAAGGGCCAAGCTTGAGTTTCTGTTGAGCAAAAATAGAAGAAAACGGGTGAGCAGAGAGCTGGAGACAAGCAGTTATTTACCACAGTCTGCATGTGGAAAGGCTTCAGTGTAGGGCACAAACATGTCACGTGAGAATTGGTTAGCTTCATTTGGACACGCGAAGTGGAGCATGTTGGAAGAATTGGGTTTATTACACAAGCGTGACTGAAATGTAACTTATCACCAGTACTTTGTGCAACCTTTGCTTGTCTCTCAGTGAAGAAAAGCCCTTGACCCTGGTCTGGTCTATGCACCATCTTACATGTAGGCATGTTTCTGTCCATCTGCTCACAAAAAGGAGTTGTGGGTGAGTGGTGCTCCTGTTCAAGGGCATCACTAGTGCAAGAATGAATTTATGCAGAAATTCTCCCATGAATAATGGTATGTTGGTCTGAATACCAGAACAAAGCACTTACTACCTGGGAAAATCTGAATGGTGAAGCTTTCATTGAAAGGTGAAAGGTATTCTGTTGAGCTGTTGTTATTAATGACCTTTGCCAACCTTTAGGTGCTGTGTAATACTCCCTGTGTTGCAAAACCGGGACGTATATGTTCCAGTGAAGTACTGAGACTAGTTGTGACTTCTGTATCATGTTTATGCAGGCTGTTTTGCTTATACAGTAACTTTTCTGGACATACATTGTTTTAAAATGTTACTACCGTGTATTTTTGCTCTTGCATTTCAAATGGAAAAGAGCCTCATGGTTTGGTCTTTTCTTCTGCTTCTGGTGTAGCATCCCACGTTTGTTATCAGTGCCATGTTTTTATGGCTGCCACTGTTCATCTGGAATTTCCACCTACTTAAGTAAATATGAACTTTGTTCTCATCTGTGGTGACTAAACAGTACTTTATGTTCAGTACATACAGAGTAAGTAGGAACAGCTATTATGTGTGTTCAACTCTTATGTCTCTTGCACCTCAGTTAAAATCCTGGAATTCCAAAGATGAGGAGTTCACACAAGTGCAGTGCTTACATTGACATACAGATTCCTGGGCTTTTGGGAACATCTCTTAAAAAATAAAGACATTTCCTTTTAAATTCTCTTTAATCATGCAGATGGCATCTGACGTGTAGTGGACATTTCCTACATTACAGTTGTTATTTAAAGTGGAAATACTGAGAGAATTAATTTTTCTTTGGCAGTGTGACATTTCAGCTCTCTGTTATTACAAAGGGTATATTCGAGCCATTAGTATGTCAGGGTGCTTGAAAACATAATTCTTTCCCCCAAAAAATGGAACATGAGCTGGACTGTTACCTCAGTTTAGCTAGAAGCGCAACTAAATATATTTTGCCTTTTATAAGGCAATGCTGTAACATCAAAGTAAAGGAGACAAACCTGAGTTGCTGGCACAGCAGCTTGAGTCTGTGTATCTGCTAGTACCAGGGGAGTCTGCAGATCTGGACAAGAAAGAGTAATGAGGATAAAATCTTGGAGATTATTTCCTACAACTAGTATAGAGGGAGTAGAAACTGCTGGATGAAATTCTCAAAGTATTGAAGTTGTGTATTTGTGTTTCGCTGTGCATTCAGTGGGACTAGGATTCAACCATTGGGCTCAAAACTCCTAAGAAATTAAATGCCAGCGCCATGACAAAGCCAAAAAAAAAAAAAAAAAAAGAAAAGGGAATATGTGTTTCTGGCATCTGCTGACCCCCTTTGTGTTAGGCAGCAGCACAACAGTGAAGTCCAGATCTGGTTCTCTGCTCTCGTCCCCAGTTTAATGTCAGTATTTTGTTTTTTGTGAGGAAACCTTGGAAGTGCTACATTCTCATCATGCAGGGGGTAACCTGAGGGCATTTCCTGCTCCCCCCACCCTTTGCTTTCAAGCAACACGGTTTCAGTTCAAGCACAGGGGCGTGTGCGATGACCCATTAGTTATTTTAAGGCCAATATTTGAACGTGAGCTGGAACTACGGTGATGTTTGATTGTCCCTTGTACTAAGATAAGTGTAACTCTGGGAATGTCATCAGCTACTGTTGAAAGGCAGCATAAAGGCTTGGGGGAAGCCCTGGGGATTGTTTTGTTGTAGTCCCTGCATGTGCAGGATTATGGAAAGGGAGAACCAAGGGCAGACAGGAAGCTCAGGGCTGCCTGGCAACCCCTCTCAGCAGGGCTGTTGGCCACTTGGCAGCGACTGGGGCATTTTTCCACAGATTCCTGTTTACAGTGGCGTAAGCATAAGTCTCTGGAGGCTGCCATTGTTGGCATCAGTTCAAGATGAGGTGTGTGACATACCTGTGGGCAGATTGCTTTTCTGGAACATGAGTGTAAAGATGGATACAGAACTACCCTGCTGGGAAACACCACTCCTTCAAAACTCAGACTTCAAAGGGGTGAGCTGTGTTGCCACATCACAGGCAGATTGTCCCCAGCAGCAATCCTGCTTGCCTCCTCTTGAGGCCAGGGTTGGCTCAGCTGCAGTCAGCAGAAGCCTAGAAGGTTGGAGCAAGATTCCTTCATTGCCCTTTCCAAAACCCGGTTGCCCATGGCACATGGAGTTGTGCCCGGCTTCCTTCCCCAGGGCGTGCTGTGCTGCCTCCCCAAGCTGAAGGCAGGAGACATACATCTGCAAAACCGTTTAAACGTGTACAAACATTTTGCTGGGTAACTGCCAGCAACCTTGGTAATTCTGACCAGAGGAAGATGATGGGGGCGTGGTGGTAGGAGTGGGTGGGACTGCTGGGTGTTGCTGAGACCTTTGCTTGCAAACTGCTCGGTGAAACAGCCGCAGTGAAATGGGGCAGAGCAGACATCATAAGTGCGGCCGGGCAGCAGGAGATTAATCACTCCCCAGGGAGAAACCTGGGAGGAGGTTTCCACAGGCTCTGCTTGACAGGCCCTTGTTAGAGTTTTTGCATGTTGATGTGGCTCTGTGCGAGAACTTGGCTCGTTTTGGGGGTGGAAACAAAGACTTTTTTTCTCCCTACTGATGTGCTGGTTTTTGTTTTTCTTATAGGTGTGTGATGTTAAAGAGTGGGCAGTCCTTGCAGCCTCCTTTGCCAGCCTACAGCGTCATGTGCCAGTAGGAATATTAAGAAAGAGAAGTGCACTTCAGAGATCAGCATCCCAGAAAGAAAGTAGGAGGAACTAAACAGAACAAATGACCGCATTGCTTGCTAGACTTGGGGCCACTTAATTTTTCTTCTGAGAAATTTCAACTTGGCCTTTGTGAGAGAACTGAAAAAGCAGACAGAGCAGCCACAGTGATTTTCTTTTTGAATATTTTTTTCTTTTTAAAATACTAATTTAATTTTTACTCCTCGTGCCTGGATTTTAAGACTGTCAGCTGCACTGATCACAAGCACTGGACATCAATATGTGTCATGTCATTGTAACATGTCGGTCGATGCTGTGGACTCTCCTGAGTATTGTGGTGGCTTTTGCAGAGCTCATCGCTTTTATGAGCGCAGACTGGCTGATTGGCAAAGCAAAGCCTGCGAGCTCCGAGGATGTGGACAACAGAACAGGGGGGTCACAGGAGCCTTACCATCCAACGCTGGGCATCTATGGGCGCTGCACCAGAATCCCCCACATGCAGCTCTCTAGACGAGACACGCTCTGTGGTCCTTATGCTGAAAACTTCAATGAGATTGCCAGTGGGTTCTGGCAGGCAACCGCTATTTTCCTAGCTGTGGGAATCATGATTCTCTGTGCCGTGGCATTTGTATCTGTCTTTACCATGTGTGTGCAGAGTATTATGAAGAAAAGCATTTTTAATGTCTGTGGGCTGCTACAAGGGATTGCAGGTATGTATACTTTGAGAGCAACTAAAGATTTTCTTTTTGGGGTCATTCAGCTGAAAAAATACAGTGATTGTGTCCTGTCTACAGACAGACTACATTAGGCAGATCCAAGGCAGTTTTATATGCTCCTTTTTTTTCAAACACAAGTGAAATTTATAGCTACACAGCATGGAACACATTGACATTGGCAAAAGAATTGCAGCCTGATGTGTGCCAAAATGAACTGACCAGTGTTGCTTTTGTTTGCTGTTCAGTATTTTCCCTCTGAATTTCTTTCAGTAACAAAAACTGTTCTTCTTTGTTACCAGCAGAGAGCAAAGTGTTTACTCATGTTAAGGCAGTCTGTCTCCCTCTTGCAACTTCAGTAATTTTTCCATGGACTGAAGGCAGTTCTTTCAGTGTCTTCATGGATTCATGACTGTGGTGAGAGCAAATACCACCCCAGGGCTAAGAACAGCCTTCAGTTGCACACCCAGTCCCCCAGCATTTCTGTTAAGCAGCTTCCTTCAATGTTGTGAGCTTGACAAGCAATACTTCTTGATAAACCTTTCCTTTAGCCAGCTTATTATTGAGCTGCAGTTACACAGCTCAGTGAGTTTATCTTTTCACTGTCCAAGTATCAGCTGTGCTTTGCCTGGAAGGATGAACTGGTTCTAGAGATTTGGTCTTTCTGCTTAAACCCATGGATTTTACAGAGACTAAATGACTGTGAGTAAACTGATATGGGACAGCCCTAGTTAAGGAAGTATTTGGCTTTCTGTACGTGCCAGTAAGCCATGGAGAGAACTTGTCCCACACGTAGGTTTTAATCTTTTGTGCTGTGTGGGTGGGATCATCTGGAGAAGTAGAGTCATCTTCCACCCTGCCTCTTGCAGCCCTCAGAGACCTGTGAGGAGGGAGGGGATAAGCTGTGCCACCTCCTCTTT